ATGAAAAGTTAATTAACAGTTTAACAAAGCTTTTGTGAGCCACTTCCATACTGTTTACTGTACTTTACATTTACATGATGTATATACTCATGTACACTCATGTAGTTATAAATTCTCATTCATTCATGTACATGTACGATCCCAAAGGACTCTCCCTGTTATGCCTTGCAACCAGGGCCGCTGAGAGCTTTGGAGGGGCCCAGGGAAGGAAATTGTGGTGTGCGAAGCGCGCCGAAAAATTTTGCAGTTTTAATTATATTCATAGTGGGTGTGGTCAAAATTACTTAATTTTTACCTGCACGCATGATAACATGCACTTTGTCTATTGAATTTTAACTAGCTAGGAAGATTGATTTTGATGATATCATGACTTTTTTGCTTGGCAAAAGGCCAGAAGGGCCCATCTTCTGTAATAATTTTGTTTAATTAAGTTCTTAAAAAATTTCCTGGGGCCCTTAAAATTGTGGGGCCCAGGGCATTTGCCCCTTTTGCCCCCCCCTCTCAGTGGCCCTGCTTGCAACATGTTCTAACCTTTAACTTTGGAACTCGTCTCACAGTCAGATCTCTATTCTCTGTGACACTGAAACAGTGTTTGGCCAGCAACATTTGTGGTTACTTTGATCTTGTAAACAACATGTTGCCAGATATATAAATATTTTTGGCAACATGTTGCTTGGTTGCTAGCAACAAGTTTCCTTGTATAAAGGCTTTTAAGGCCACCATCCACCATTAAATTATATTGTGACTTCATTTTTATATTTATTTCATGCAACAGAGTTGACAGCACATCAAAAAAGTAACCACAAAGTTGCTTTCAACAAACTACAATGTGCAATAACCACATGCTACCAAATTTATCTTTTTTTGGGGACAATGACAACTTTAAAAACCAATCTATCATTATGTATCTTGTTGTTATAGGTTGGTGATACTGCTCTTATTGAAGCAGCAAGAAAAGGAAACTGTGATGTTGTAGAATTACTGCTGAAGAAAGGAGCTGATCCTTCACATTCAAACAATGCAAGTTATTATTCATTTTATCATCATTGAAATTTTTATTGTTATTATGTAGCTACATGTACACATGTATCTTATAATCAGAAATTTATGTTACTAGCCATTGCCTTAGTTAGAAGTGCTAAGTAGTGTAAAAGTATTTATAATTTTTTTCATCACCTTGCATGCATACTGAGTTCTTGTTAAGACTAATAAAGGTTCTCTTTTGCTGTTAAAGCTCCCATGTGTAAGCTGCCATTTTGTTTGCTGTGGTTATACCCACTTTATGTAAAATTTGTGGGAGGACTAGTAAAACATTTCTCCGATATAATATGTATGTGTATATAATATATGCGCCCTAGGTCATAAAAATGCAATCACCAAACTTTGTATTTAGTTTCATTAATAACGTCAGTAGAGAAATGAGGAAGTGACATAATTTTTAAAATTCTTTTCAGTAAACAATTCAATCACTATCAAGAGGCTCAAGAATTAATTAGTTATTAAAGGTACATGTACCACATGTACTTTAACCCAAGAAGACCACTGCAGTGATCTAAGCCACCCACAACTATCCAATTATGGTGCAATACGAGTTTATTATGATATCATTATCTTGTTATTATAGTATGGAAATACTGCTCTTATTGTAGCAGCAGAGGAAGGACATTATGACATTGTACAGCTGCTATTAAATAATGGAGCTGATCAAAGCACTGCAAATTATGTGAGTATCATGTAATTAATGGACCATAAACCTTCTTTTATTAAATTCCCTTCTTAACTGTCAGTTTTGAATGAGAAAACTGTAACAGATGCAATACGTGTAGTTGTAACTAGAGCTTCATGTAGGTTTGCTATGTACATGTACATGTATACAACTTCACCCATGACATCACTTACAAC